CGATATATAAGAAATAATGACTTAGATTTTGTACAGTGTATATGGTGGGTGCTTCATAAATGTGTGACTGTTTTTGTTCTGTGTATTGTGTTGGATGTCCCAGCTGCCCTCAAGGCATTTATAGTACAGTGAATGGGGGAGAGAAACATGTCCACAGATGACTGGTATACACAGCAACATGTTCTAAGTGCTAGGGTAAAAGAAGTGACACAGAACATTCATAGGAAGGCTGAGTCAACCAGGAAAGACTTCACAGAATGGGTAGCATATGAGAGGAGTTTTGAATTTTAAGATGTTTGAGAGTTGAATGCCAAGAGGCATGAACAGCATGAAGAAAGCTGTAAAGGTTGAAAGTTGCTGTAAAGAAGGGATGCAGTGTGAGTACAAGTGGGAAAGCTCTTCAAAATTTCCATGACATGACTTTAGTGCTAGGTAAATGGTTGGTAACTAGCTCTTGGGGCAGCAGACTTTGCAGGTTTGGACCAGTTGTATTAGAATTTGTTAATCTATAAGCACTGTTTGGAGTCTGTACTCTGGATTGGAGCCGAGAAAAACTATAAAGAAGAAACTAATTCGGAGGCTTCATGAAATTCAAGGCAAGATTTTAAAAATGAGCTTTAAGTAGGTTTGTAACAGTGAGGTTGGGAAGACGGGAATAAATGTCAGTGGCATTGACTGAAATGAAATCTTGGGTACCTAGCAATTCATACATGTTTTGAGTAAAGGGGAGAGAAAAATCAAAGTTGACTACAGTTCAAATGTGAGTCACAAGGAAAGTAGGGGCCATCAGTAGAAATGAAATGAGGATGAAAAACATTTTTTAAGGAAAGATGATATGTTTGGCGTTGCTGGGGCACTAGTAGTGAATGTGTTTAATGGGAAAGATTTTTTTTTTGTATTATTTTTACTGGGTGTGTTAACATCTAAGAGGTAACTGGTTACCTGCAATATTTTTTGATTATTTGTATTTGCTAAAATTTCTATAAACTAATGTAGTTCAGGTTATATAGTTATGAGAATACATTTTTGGTAAATCATAGATCATAATAAGCTTATTGATAAAGTTATTTTCTGCCAGTTGCTCTATTTTAGTTATCTATTGCTGCACAACAAACTACCCAAAACTTAGTTAATTGAAACAACTATTATTTCTTAGGACTCTGTGGGTTAACTGGGTTTAGCTGAGTTGTAGTTTCTACTCCCTATCGTTTCAGCTACAGCTTTAGTCATCTAGGAGCCTAATTGGGCCGGAAGTCAAGAGGACTCATTCACATGGCTCAGTGATGACCTTGGCTGAGAGCTCAGCTAGAGCTGGTAATGGGAGTGACTTGGTTCTCCTTCACATGGCTGTCCACATCATGGTGGCTGGGTTCCAAAAGGCAGAGTCCCAAGAGCCAGGGTTCCACGAAGAAGGAGGCAGACACTTCCGATTCTCCTAAGGCCCATGCTTGAGGATTCCAGAAAGTCTCTGCTGCCATATTCTGCTGGGACAGCTCGGGTTCTTGCAGAGGGAAAATAAGCTCTTTTTTTTTTGTAAAAAAAAAAGAACATGTTTTTATTGATTTCAGAGAGGAAGGGAGAGGGAGAGAGAAATAGGAAGATCAGTGATGAGAAAGAATCATTGATGGGCTGTCTCCTGCATGCCCCCTAATGGGAATTGAGCCTGATCCATAATTGAACTGATAACCTCTTGGTTCATGGGTCGATGGCTCAACCACGGAGCCACACTGGCCGGCTAAGCTCCATTTGTTGATGTGAGGAGCATCATGTACATATTCCAATTTTTAGAAGCTATCTTTGGAGACTAACAGAGGTTCTAAACATATTCACTCAATAAATATTTATTAGAACATTCACTTTGTACCAGATATTATTCAGTAGATTCAGTACTAAACTAGGTTGATAATGCTCCTGCTCTCTTGAAGGTTGCATTTCCTTTGGGAGACAGTTGATAAATAAATAAACATGATAATTTCAGATGATGATAAGTGCTATTAGGAAAATAAAGCAAAGTATGGAGAAAGGTGCCATTAAACAAGATAAGGGAAGCTGGTGACTTAGCAGATGTTTACTTGAGCTAGAGCCAATATGAATTCTCAAGTAGAAATTGCTAATCACTCATGCCTTAATCAGTTTCCACATATATGTTCATACAAGTCTATCACAGTACTGTCCAATAGAACTTTTTGTAATGATGGAAATGTTCTATATTGGCACTGTCCGTTGTGGTAGCACTAGCCTCATGTGACAGTTGAGCACTTAATATATAGCTAGTGCAACTGAGGAACTGAATTTTTTATTCTATTTTTAATTTATTTAAATAGTCACATTTGGCTAGTGGCTACTGTTGGACAGCTCAGGTTTACCATGTAGAAGATGCTAAACATTCTTGTCCCAATCTACTTTCTTGACCTACTAGAACTTAGTTTAATTCCAAATAGTAATCATGTTGCAGCAGGTATAATAAAAAGTGTGTGGAGTATGGAATCAGGCAAATTTGGTTTAGAATACCAGCTCTGCTAGTTTTGTGTCCTTGGATGAGTTGTTTAATCAGTCATTTCCTCATAGCACTTTTGAGAGAGATTAATGTGTGCAGAACACTTAACATTCTTTCCATTTGAAAACATCGATTTAAAAGGAAGAGAACATAAAAATGTCTATTTTGTGACTCTAGCTATAAAAATTACAGATAAAAACTTGAAATGAGGGCACAGGAATAAAAAAATAGTTTTCAGGATGGAGTTGTGAATGATTATTTTTCTAATTTTCTCCTGGGTTGTGTTTTGAAAAATAAAAATGAAATTTAAACCGAAATGGTCTTTAGCAATTTTATCTTCATCAGTTTTACTTTTTACTCTACATTTGCTTTCTGATTATTTTTCTTCTGTGTATTCGTTTTACTTCAAGATGTTTTTTTCCCCTACTAACTTTTTTCTTTGTAAATTATTTTCTTCATTCTATAAGAATTTTAAGGCTACATTACTTCATTTTTAGTGATGTGTGCTCTGTTTTGATTTTTTTTTAAAAAAGTATCCTATGCACTTAATTTTTATTTAAGGCTAAACTACACTTTTTAGAAGGTTTGTGTTTTATTTTCATTTAAGTGTTCAGTTTAGAATTTGGGAGATTCTCATCCCATAAACCTAACCCCAGCTTTCTTTAACCCATGAATACTAACTTGGCACAATAAGTGTCTGAATGGCAGCTCTCCTCATTTTCTCACCTGCCAGTTTCACCATTGTAATGGTCAGCGGATTCCACCATTGTGTTCCTTAATTGCTTTTCTGCTTGAGATGATTCAGAGTTTTATTTCAGACTTTGAGAGTCACATAAGCAGTGTTTTACTCTACTATTGTACTGTGGACAATAAAAAATGGAACTTCTTTCACCAAGGAGTTGTATAGGATGAATAAGTTTAAAATGGATCCAGTTATATTTTTGGACATTACCATTGAACTGATATAAAAATATCTGTCTCTAATCATGAACCCCCTTGAATAGTGTTCTTGGATTTTTAGCCACTTATTAAACATGTTTATTTAGATGTTCCTTCTCACTTCTTGGTAATACCTTTGTACCTAAAATATATAAAGTCCTGGTTGATACATGATATCAGAATTCTCCCAGTCATCTGGGCTCACATTTTTATAGTTGTTTTTCTTTGATACTCCCATAACAGTGTAGATAGTCATCAGTACCTAGTGATTCATTCTTCAGAGGTTCAGCTCAATCCTACCTGTCACCACCTTCGTTCAGGCATTTAAAACTTTATACTTGGATTATTGTATTTTGCTGCCACCAGATTAATATTTTTTAATCAATACACTATTTTATGTCATTCTCTGTTAGTCCCTATTGCCTACAGGAAAAGTTTAAATGACTTATATGAAAGATTGTTTTCCATAATAAGATAGAGTATCTGAGAGTATTTTGGAAACCTCTGAAAACTCATATAATTTGTAAAGAATTAGTGGCCTTTTGATTACCTTTCTTGGCTTTATTTTCCAAACTTCCTTATAAAAGCCTTCCAGTTTAAGACAGGTGAATATGTTCTTCCTTAACCAGATTTATTTTTCTTTTTATCTCTGGTTGGTTCAGCTTAATATTTATTAGGCACTTATTCTTTGGTAGGCGTGTATTTATGGAATATATAAATAAGGCACATTTTCCTCTCAACTTCAGTTCTTTTTATTCTTCAAACTGAGTTTAAAGTTATCCCTTCTATAGCGTTTTCTCTTGATCACCCAGGCCTACAATAACTTTCTCTTTTCAACCAGGAACTTACTGACTTATATCCCACTCTGCTATATGTGCAAAATAACATATATACAAAACATAGACAGGTTAATGAATTATTTTCATTTTTCCAGTTTTATTGAGATATAATTGACATAGAGCACTGTATATAAGTTTAAGGTACACCACATAATGACTCCACATACAGATATTGTGAAATGATCACCACAATAAATTTAGTTAACCTTCATCTCATAAAGTTATTAAAAAAAGAGTAATTTAAATTTGAGTATCTGTGTTACTACAATCTAAACTCAAGAAATGGAGCATTACCAGTCCTGGAAGTCTAACCACATGGCCCTTGGCAATCAAACCTCTTCCTTCCTTCTGGTCCTTTTGTGATAATCATATTGTCGCTTCTCATAGTTTTGCCATCTAGTTTTGCATTCCTAAAGTATTATATTTCCTGTTTCTCAAGTTAAGTGAATTCATCACATAATTTTACTCGTTTCAGCATTTTTGGTGTTAAGTGTAGCTGAAGTTCATTAATTTTCATCGCTGCATTTCATTGTCCATTCTAATACTGATGTACATTTGAGTTATTTATAATTTAGGGCTATAATGAATAAAGCTACCAGAAACATTCTGATATCCTGTGTACACATGCACAGGTTTTTCTAGGTTGTATTCGTAGTTGAATCTCTGGATCACAGGGCGTGCATAATTTCAGCTTTCCTAGGTAAAGCCATTTTTTTCAAAAGATTGGCCCAATTTAGAATCCCATCAACAGCGTATGATACATCTTGTTTCCTAATAGTTAGAATTGTCAGACTTAAAATTTTGCCATTTTGGTACGTGTGTAGTGGTATTTCATTGTGGTTTAAAATTGCATTTCCCTGTTTCCCTTTAATGTTTATTCATTGGTAATTCTTTTGTTATATACCTACTATCCTTTTTCTATTTTTGTGTGGGATGCTTTTATTTAAAATGTACCTATACAATCTTTTTACTTATTAAATACATTAACCTTTTATGAACACCAGCCTGACCTTAATGCTGTAGCTGATTGGTCCAAAGCCAGTTAAGGAAATTTTGGTTCTTACACCAATCCCACCTTTTAAAAAGAAATTTATTAACAAGCAAAGCTTTTACACAGTAAGCATTAATTTGGTAGCAAAAGGTATCTGTCAGTAGACAAGTATTTTTTTTGTGAGTGCCTGCTAATTCATCCACTCATGGCCTTATATTTTATTTATTTACTTTTAATTTTTAACATATTTTTATTGATTTCAGAGAGGAAAGGCGAGGGAGAGAGAGAGAAACATCAATGATGAGAGAGAATCATTATTGAGCCAGAAACCCGGGCATGTGCCCTGACCGGGAATTGAACCATGACCTGGTTCATAGGTCAATGCTCAACCACTGAGCCGCACTGGTTGAGCCAGGGTCATATATTTTAGAGTCATTATTAAGAGCTGCATTTATCCAACTTTGTTTTATGCCATAGCAACACTGAACAATCATTGACAGGAATTAGCTAAAAAGTACTGAGGCAGCCAGTAGTCAATAAGCATGTAATCTTTGGAGTCAAACAAACTTTGGTCCAAGTTCTGGTTCTAGAAATATGTGACCTTGTGCACATTATCCAGGCTATCTAAAAATTCAGTTGTGTGTCATCTGCTAAATGGAAATAATAGCCTAGAATATTATGATGATTCAGTAAGGCATTTAAACATTTAAATTGCATAGCACATCACCTGGCAGGTGTCCATAAACAATGGTGATGAAATCTAAAACCACCTATCACCCAGTATTTATGCTAATGCAAGGTTTCAGGTCGAGGACCATGGTGAGGAAAGAAACTGGAATGGTTCCCATGTGTGCCTCAGTCAAATAGGAAAAGGGTATATAACTCATTCTCCATTTTAGGATTTTTAGGTTATGGAATGGGGGAAGGCATATATAATAGAAAAGAGGTAAGAGTCACCAGAGCATTTGGAGGCCCCTTAAATGCAGAAGCAAAATTAAAGGAAAACTAGTACTGCCACATCTTCCTTCTACTTTCAATACACACCTGTGGAGATTTTTTTGTTTTTCCTTTTGTAATTATGATTTTATTGTAATTAGTTTTTATTTTTATTTCAGAGAGGGAGAGAGATAGACACATCAGTGATGAGAGAGAATCACTGATTGGCTGCCTCCTGCACGCCCACTACTCGGGGTGGGGGGGATCTAGCCCGCAATCCAGACATGTGCCCTTGGCAGGAATTAAACCTGGGACCCTTTAGTCCGCAGGCGGAGGCTCTATCCACTGAGCCAAACTGACTATGGCACAGCATTGTTTTCTAACTCTGTCTATATCCCTTATTGCCTCTCCATTTTCATTTGGTGGTAGTTAGGATATTAGGATAAAGATATTTTCTTTAACTATGATTGACAAAAGTTGAATGTGAGAGCAGTAAAATTAAATAAATATCTGAATTCAGAGCAATATTATTACCAATGTATTGTTTTGTACTGTTTCATTACAGCTTGTAGATTTTCAGTGGAAACTGGGTATGGCTGTGAGCTCAGACAGTTGCAGATCACTTAAGTATCCTTATGTTGCAGTGATGCTAAAAGTGGCAGATCATTCAGGCCAAGTAAAGACCAAGTCTTTTGAAATGACAATTCCACAGTTTCAGGTTTGTGATTTAATTCAGTCAATTGTAGCTCATTGTTCTGTCGTTGCTGCTTAACATTATGTATAAAATCTTTCTTAAGGGGGGGGGATATTAATTGTTTTTATTTACAATTGCTTTCTATTTATTAGTATACAAGATCTGAATTTGTTTTCTCTGGGAATTTGATAAGTTGTTTTCAATATAATATGCTGAATTTGTATACTGTAACATTTGATCACTTTCACAGTAGTCTTCTGTAATATATTTAGAAAATTTTCATTTTCTCTGGCAGGATATTTACTTTGCTTTTAACTGTTTTATTCTTTTTAAGTTTAATATTTGAGAATGATGAGCTAAATGAATCTTATTTTTAATAGTGTTAACCTTGAATCTTCTGACTAATAATGTTTATAAAAAGCAGATCAGAACACTAATACTTGATGATTAGTTCTGTTAGCTAGAGATTTGAGTACCTGAATTGTTTATATTTGGAGTCCTGTTAGTCATATTAGCATTCTACCTGTTTTCTATAAGGAAGGAAGAAAAAAGAGGGTAGATGAGAAATTACATTTTTTTTAAATGTACATACAGGGAAATGTGTTGTCATTAACTACTTTAACTGGTCTTAGGGTTTTGTTTTTGTTTTTTTTATTTCAAGCTGAGTGAACAAATAAGAATCTTCACAGCAGTTAGAACTCCTAAGAAAAACCTCTCATAGGCCACTTTTGAGTTTTTCTTTTACTTTTCCCCCTCAGATTTATTAAGGTATAATTGACAAATAAAAGTCGTATATATCTAAGGTGTACAAGGCGATATTTTGGTTATACGCACATTATGAAATGATTACCACAATCAAGCTAATTAAACTATGTCACCTCACTTAATGTGTGTCTGTATGGTGAGAACACTTGAGATCTGCTCTCCTGGCAAATTTCAAGCATATAACACATTATTATTAACTGTAGTCACCATGATGTACATTATGTCTCTAAAACTTACTCATCTTATAACTGAAAGTTTGTAATTTGACAAACATTTCCACATTTTCCCCACTCCCCAGTCCTGGTAACCAGTCTACTCTCTGTTACTATGAGTTCCACTTTTTTAGATTGCATATATAAATGAGAGCAGGCGATATTTGTCTTTCTGTGTCTTCTGGCTTGTAGGTTCATTCTTGTTGTCAAAATAGCAGGATTTCCTTCTTTCTAAGGGTGAATAGTATCCTGTTGTGAATGTATGCATATGTATTTATATATCATATGTATAAATATTTTTATATTGTATATGTTTTTATATATCACATTTTCTTTATCCCTTCATCTGTCAGCACACACTTAGGTTGCTTCTATACCTTGGTTATGGTGAATAAAGCTGCAATGAACATAGGAGTGCAGATATGTCTTTGAGATAGTGATTTTATTTCCTTTGGAACAGAAGTGGGGTTGCTGGATCATATGGTAGCTCTATTTTACAAATTACATTTTAAGGTTTTTTTCCTCCTTTTGATTTCTTTCTTTTAAAACTGACATCTCTGCTTTAAAACGAAAAAGAATAGTCACAGATTCAGCATTAATAATGCTAATTAATATCTTAAAGGAATTAGGACTTCATTAAAAAGGAAATAAATATAGTATATTGTGATTTATGAGTAGCCTTCAACTGAATATAAGAACCCCTTCAATTTCAAAAGAGAATATAGATTTCAGTTCTTTTTATAATTCAGGATCTTGGTCTAATTCTTATTTTTCTGTGTAGCCTTTATGTGCTCTGATTCCACCTGCAGAATTATTTTTTTCTCATAGGAAAAACACACACAAATGGGGCAACTCTTTTAAAGTTAGTTTTTACATGGCTTAACATCTAATGAGGAAAACAGAGCCCGTTAGTCAAATTACAGGACTGAAACCTTGGCAACATTCTTTGAGCTTTCAATTTATATATTTTTTTGTAGCTGAAATTTTGACCTTGACTTTTACAGAGAGAAGGGAAAGGGAATGAAAGAGAGAGAGAGAAACATTGACATGAGTGTGAAATATCAATCTGCTGCCTCCTGCACAAACCTTCCTACCAGGATCCAGGCCCACAACCAAGGCATGTACCCTGACTGGGAATTGAACAGGCAACCTATCGGTACAGAGACTGGGCCCAGCCAACTGAAGTTTTCCTATATAAAACCCTAATATGCAAATCAACCTAACGGTGGAATGACAGGTCACTATGATGAACACTGACCACCAGGGGGCAGACACTCAACGCAGGAACTGCCTCCAGCCAGCAGGCCCCAACTGGCAGTTGCGGGGGTCCCCTAATGGTCCTGCAAATTGGCCCTGATCACTGGCCAGGCCTAGGGACCCTACCGGTGAACGAATTCTGTGCACTGGGCCTCTAGTCTACATAATAAAGGCCTAAGCGACCATTATGGTGGAACAATCAGGACGACTGGTTGCTATGATGTGCACTGACCACCAGGGGGCAGACGCTCAACTCAGGAGTTGCTTCCTGGTGGTCAGTGTGCTCCCACAGGGGGAGTGCTGATCAGCCAGAAGCCAGGTGCACCGCTGGCAAGTGCAGCAGCAGTGGCAGGAGCCTCTCTTGCTTCCACTGCGTGCGGGCTGTAGGGAGTGAGAAGCCCTGGACTGCAAGAACCCTGGACTGCGAGAGGGATGTCCAACTGCCAGCTTAGGTGCGATCTCCCCTGAGGGGTCTCGGACTGCGAGAGGGCACGAATTTATTTTTAAATGAAAGAAAAATAAGCTTCTACCATTTAAGCCATTGTCAATGTTGGGTCTCTCATATTGCAATTGAATCTGTATCTGAAACAAAACAGCCCCTATCACCCTGAAATGCAGTCTTTCACTAGATGTAAAGTGATTTGAGGCCTGGGAACCAACCTGTCATTTTTTGTTATTTTAATCTTCAGTGTCTAAGACAGTGCTGGCTAGTTAATAAACCTTTCTGGTGTGATCTCAAAAGAACTTTCTTGTATGCTTTTTGAAAAGTTTAGTTATGTGCTAGTTATCCAACTCTGCAATACTTTTGCTTATAGTACCAAATTGTGCCTCTTTTTTTTCTCAGAGTAACCTTCAATAATAGTTCAGAATATCACATTCAAATATAATCTTAATGTTATATAGTCTCTGGTGGTCAGATATTATTACCTCTGAAAGCAAAATTAACATTATTTTTCTCCTTTCCAGAATTTCTACAGACAGTTCAAGGAAATTGCTGCAATTATTGAAACTGTGTGAAAACTGATTACTTGGTTGGTAAATTGCTACCGTCGTTCTAAAATCATGGACTTCACGTTCTGCACTATAACTGTATGAGGATCAGATGACTTTTTTATTGAAAGAAAATTGTACTTTTGTTTTTCCATTTTTTTAATAATAAAAAAATTAGACAAACAGGAATTAGGTAAGAGGTGATCAGTGCACTTATAGATGTGAATGTACTAAAAGCCACTGAATTTGTTATCAGCAGAAGTGGAGTTCTTGGGGTGCCGTGGGGAAAATAATTTCGTGAGGCCCCCTCAGGAGGATGGGGTTTCATGGAAAACTTTATTGATGAAGTAAAATTTAGGGGGTTCTCCTCCAAGGTCCCATCCACCATGGAAAAAGTCCAGTCATATCTTCAGCAGAGCCAGGGTTAAGGCCACTGCCCAGAGTTTCTAGTCTATATGAAAACACAGTCCAGTCCAGCATCTGGCTAGCTTAGCTCGTGTTCCCAGCTGCACTCCATTGTGTGTGGGGTCTGCACTGCCCTGAGCCCTGTGGCTATGGAGGGGAAATAGGTGTGTGCACAGGCGAGTGCAGGTCATGGAGCAAGAGACAGAGAGGGAATAAGGAGCACAAGAGAGAGGGAACTCTGAGGATTTTATCCTTCCAAGATTTTGTGTGCTTGCAATGGCTCCTTCCTCCTAGCCAAATTATCTTTTTTTTTCAGGCTAGACCCGTGATCGGCAAACTGCGGCTTGCGAGCCACATGCGGCTCTTTGGCCCCTTGAGTGTGGCTCTTCCTAAGCCTTAGGAGTACCCTAATTAAGTTAGTAACAATGTACCTACCTATATAGTTTAAGTTTAAAAAATTTGGCTCTCAAAAGAAATTTCAATCGTTGTACTGTTGATATTTGGCTCTGTTGACTAATGAGTTTGCCGACCACTGGGCTAGAATGACAGTCAAGCTTCATCCCTACATCACCCTGACTTCACTGCACATGTGCCCATGTCCCCCTTTCTTCGGTCCCTTCCCCCAGTGATCTTCAGGGAATGGACCTGTGATTCCCCGGGGAAGGTGAAGCTGCCCAGATGACCATGCTTATAATGTCTGGCCTCCTGTCCTTTTCCTATTATTAATATTAACTAGCTAGTTGTGACAACAACAAATTGAACACTTTAAAGGGTGAACTCAGTGGTATGTGAATTACATATCAATAAAAAATAAATAACTGAATGATTGAAAACATTGAGAAGGATGACATCTATATAATAAAAACCCAGTGATCATAACACTGTAATGACCAAAGACTGATCACCAGGAGGGACTTGACTCTGGGTCCCACAGCACGCCGGGTCTGGGTCTTGTGCGATTTTGTCCGCTGGGTCTCCAGTTACTTTATAAATTCAGTAACACAATGTTCAATTACTGTAAAAGCAATCAGTGAGAAGAATGAGTTTGCTCTCAAACATTTGCAATCAGTTTAGGATTGACCATTGTTTCCTTAGATTAGCTAAGTATTCAATTATTTCTGTTATTAATTTTTATAGAAAGTTCAAATACATGCCCAGAGATAGTTAAGTTTTATTCTGAGTTCTGTTTACAACTGAGTTAACCTGTTAGTAAAGTTAACATTTTACATGATCTTTGTTGAATTGATAAACCAATTGTTAAAGTATTCTATATGAAGTCACAGCAATCAACACATGGCATTGCTTAGGAATGGGCAAATAGATCACTGGAATAGACTAGGTGGCCTACAAATAGATCAACACATTTTGGACAAGGATGGTATTTCAGCTAAGTGGGAAAATGTGATTATTTAATAAATGATACCAGCAGTTACAATATTTGCAAAAATAAATTCCAGATTAATGAATTAAATAGAAAAGATAAAAATTAGAAGTCTTAGAGAATATTTATGTTAAGCGAGGCTTGGGAAGATAGAAACCCATAACTATAATGTAAAGCAAATGTATTTGAAAATAAAAATTAAACATTTATTTGTAGAAAAATAATGGGCCATATACAAAGACAAAAGACAAACACTGGGTTGATATATAAGTTAGTGCTTTAAATATTTCAAGTAGGAAGAGAATTTAACAAGAAATTAGACTTTCACTAAACCGTCAGAAAGACTGAGGAAACAAGGCAGGAGAGATGGCTGGCTTTAGAAAGTCCGGAAGTGCAGAAATTTCAGGGAAGGCCACTGCCAGCAATCGGCACAACGCAGCTCATCACCTGGAAGTCCCTGTACCACGTGTTATTCTGCCATCTGTCAGTGCGGGCCTCTCATTATGTGGAAGTTAAGCCAGGGCCCTGCTGACACAAATTTAGCCAACTGAATTTCCAGGTTTTTAGTGCCTATAAAGGGTAGATTTAGAAAGAAGAATGGTGCTGAGTATTTCGACTCTGCTGGCAGAACTAGGACTTGTGGTCTTTTTGCAAAGTGATTACACACACACACACACACACACACACACACACACACACACTTCACATAGAAATTTCACAGTCCAGGAATATATATCATTTGGAAGCACCACTGGAGGCAAACTGCAAGAACACCCTGACTTGCAGCGGACAGTAGTGTGAGCAAGAAACAAACTTTTATTGTCAGCTGGTGAGTTTTTTGGATAACACACAATATATGTATGAAGATTTTTATTGTAGTATTTCCAGTGCAAAAAGTAAAGGAAGCAGCCAAGAATACCTGTCAGTAAGGAAATGGTTAAGTAAATTTGGCATATCTATGCTATGGAATGTGATATAGCTGCTAAGGTTTGCCTCTGGGATATTATCAATATTGTACATATTACTGTGGCATATAAAATTTTGTAAAAATACATCCATACAGCCCAGCTGGTATGGATCAGTGGTTGAGCATCGACCTATGACCCATGAGGTGATGGTTCGATTCCCCGTGAGGGCACTTGCCTGGGTTGTGGGCTTGATCCCCAGTGTGGGGCGTGCAGGAGGCAGCCGATCAATGATTCTCTCTCATCATTGATGTTTCTATCTCCCCCTCTCCTTTCCTCTCTGAAATAGATAAAAATATATTTTAAAAAATGCATCCATACATTTGAACACTGAATGGAAAATTAAGAAAGGCCTGGAAAGAAGGCTACCGGGTTAGAAGCCCTGGTGGAGATGGTATCTAGAGAAGGAAAGGAAGAACTGTTAAAACATTTTTTCTTGTTTTAAGTCCATGATGTATTCTAAAAAATGTTATGGTTTTAAGATTTTTTTAAAATAGATTTTTAGAGAGAGAGAGACATCGATATGAGAGCAGAGCATTGATCAGCTTCCTCCTGCACGCCCCCTACCAGGAAGCAAGTTCACAGCCTGGGCATGTGCCTTGACTGGGAATCGAACAGGCAACTTTTCAGTGCCTGAGATGATGCCCAACCAACTGAGCCACACCGGCCAGGGCTGTGCGATGGTTTTAAAAAAATACTTGGAAATAAATTATTTTTTTAAAAAAATACTTGTTTTTAAGTTGCTTTTGAAAAGCTCATAGTTTTTTCGTGATATAATGTTTTCTTATTTCTTTTAATTTAACAAAGTGTGGTGTTTATAAAACAAAATGATTTATAAAGTGCCTCCTCAAACCAGGATAGACAAACCTGAAACACATCAAATGTAGGCCTTCTGTGCTTTAGAAATGGTGGCTCCAGCTGGGTCTAACATTTTGGTTGGCACGCCTCTGAGAAACTTCATTTCTGCTGCTTTCCTGTTTCCTCTTCTGATCCTCCATGTTGGAAATGGATGTCCTTTTCACTTCCCGTCAGCTGGCCTGCAGATCTCCTATGTAAGCCTGCGTTCTTTCTTTGTCCTCTGCTAGGTAGTACACTGCTGTGAGGAGCTCAAGTCCAAGGTCTGCTGCTGCCCACCTGGGGACTGAGGTCCCACTAGCTTGACGAGGTAGCTAGCTGCTCATTCGGGCTTACCAACTGCCACCAGACGTATCCTGTCACCCACCCTCTGGGTAGTAGCACATTACTGATTCTAAGACTGAGGAGTCACGTCCCCTTTCTATTTCTTTTTCCATCCTGTTGAGCACAAGTTTCATTGTATACCCAGAAATCACAGGAGCAACCCTCCCACCCCCCACCCAGTCTGAGTGAAAACAACATACTTGCCTTCCCAGACTGTGCATAGGGTCTCTATCTACCACCCATCCCAGTCAATGCCTTCCAATCTCCTCTCTTTCCACATTTACAGTATTTAAGGTTATATGCAGAGGCCCAAAGTGAGCTCCTGGCTCAAACACTTCCGGTGATGGAATTAATCTGAATAAATTTAAGTTGTACTTCTAAATTTATTTTTTGAATTTAAAAGACAAGCTTTTTTTTATAATTGTATACTATTTTCATTGCAAATGTCTTTATGCTTATAATGAATTTAATGAGCTTCACTGGGCAGGCCTGGGAATTAACCACTGTAATAACATTTCTGTGGGAAAATGTGTTTCAAGTTTCAAACACTTGATTTAAATATAAACTTTTGGAAAAAGCTAATTTTCAACTTGGAAAATGTATTAATGAGCTTTTTGTTACAAAAGGAATAGATTGCCCCTATGCTTATCAAACATAACACAAGTATTTTAATATATTCTGCTACCAAGACAGGTTAACATAAGAATCAGATTTATGTGGAAAGAAGGCAAAACAGTCATATTTACTTAAAGGGACCATCAAACCTCGGGGAATGTAGGGGAGGGTGGGGGTAAGGGGGAGAGATCAACCAAAGGACTTGTATGTATGCATCTAAGCCTAATCAATGGACACAGACATCAAGGGGGTGAGGGCATGAGTGGGGGAGGGGTCGGGGGAGGGGAATGGGATAAGGACACATATGTGATACCTTAATAAAAAAAATAAATAAAGGGACTGAAACTTCCAACATACTGGTGGCTTGTTTTTAAAAGTGCTTAAGCAGAACAACCTTTTATAATAATTTGTAAAGATTATTTTATGATTTAGATTTTAAAAAATAAAATTTTTTAGAAGTTTTAGATGTATAGAAAAAATGAGAAGATACTATAGAGTTCCTTCATACTTCACACTGTTTCCCGTTTAACATCTTACATCTTACATGGTATAGTTGTTATAACTGACAAGCCAATAGTGATACATTAGGTTTCTTTAGTATTCCCTAATATCCTGTTTCAGGATCCCATCCAGGATATCATGTT